ACAATGTTCCCTGGGTGGGGGGGGGGTGTTCAGAGGGCACTCCCTTCACTAAAATATGGAATGTGCTAGTACATTCTGAGAACCTCAGAATTGTTTGTCCTCTACATTAAGCTTGTTGCACCAGAATCAATGGGAATAACAGGATTCTAGGGGCCAGGCTGGCAGCACTATACCATCAGAGGCAACAGGGATGTAATTATGATCACATATATCAACCTGAATAAATCTTAGGGGCCTAACGTTGATGGGGGAAAGTGAATCCCAGAAGAACATGTGAGTTATTTAGATTTTAAAAACACACAAAATGAAAATGTAAGTGTGTGTGTGTGTGTGTGTGTGTGTGCTGAGATGTTAGTAAACACAAAACTAGGAGAACGGTTCTGGGAGGAAGGGGGAAGAGAGAAGGGTTGGGGAGGTTATAACAAGACTTCTAAGGTCTTGGGTATATTCACTCTCTCAAGCCAGATGCCGAGCACACAGGCAATCACTTTACTGTCACTATTTATACACATAAGTTATACTTTTTGAATGTATTCAATATTTTTTAAAAATTATTATTTATTTATTTATTTTGGGCTGCGTCAGGTCTTAGTTGTGGCGCGCGGGATCTTTTCATTGTGGTGCGTGGGCTCTTTGTTGCGGCACATGGGCTCTTTGGTTGTGGTGCGTGGGCTTCTCTCTAGTTGTTGCGTGTGGGTTTTTCTCTTCTCTAGTTGTGATGTGCAGGCTCCAGGGCACGTGGGCTCTGTAGTTTGCGGCACGCAGGCTCTCTAGTTGAGGTGCAGGAGCTCAGTAGTTGTGGTGCACGGGCTTAGCTGCCCCGCGGCATGTAGGATGTTAGTTCCCCGACCAGGGATCAAACCCACGTCCCCTGCTTTGGAAGGCGGATTCTTTACCACTGGACCACCAGGGAAGTCTTGAATGCATCAGTATCTAACAAAAATAATTTAAAGAAATAAAGCCTAACCACCGTTTCTGGCTGGTTGTGACACAGTAGAGAGTAGTGAAAGGAATGCAGGTATTGGGCTTTGGCATCAGATAGAGCCAAATTCAAGCCACTTACTGCCTACACAACTTTAGGGAAGTTACTGAGTCTCTTGGAGATAGGTTTCTCATCAGCAAAATGATTTTGATAATAACTATCCAGCAGAGTAGTGGTAAGGATTAAATGAGATAATTCACATAAATCTTATAGTCAGCACCTGGCACATATCAGGTGCTTAAGATACAGCAATTGCTATTCAAAAAGTTTGTCCATGCTTCCCATTTTTTTCCCTTTTAGGAATTGTCCATGTTCCTCACTTGAATTTGACTGCATTCACCTTAATTATTTCCTGAAAGCACAGCTTTATGTTGGGTGGGCTATGTCTTATTTAAAAAAAAATTTTAAAGTTAGTTTCAAAATACTATTATCTCATTTGACCCTCTTTTTAAATCCTAAGTTCCTAGCACAGGTTGGGACATGAAAGGAGCCCCAATAAATCTGAGCAAATGAATGAATGTAGCAGGTAGGTATAATGGGCTTAATTGTGTTCCCCCCCGAATTCATATACTGAAATCCCAATCTCCAGTACTTTCAGAATGTAACTGTATTTGGAGATAAGGTCTTTAAAGAGGTGATTAAGTTCAAAAGAGGCCATTAGGGTATGGCCCTAATCCAATATGACTATTGTCCTTATAAGAAGAGTAAGAGGGGACTTCCCTGGTGGCGCAGTGGTTAAGAATCTGCCTGCCAATGCAAGGGACATGGGGTTCAATCCCTGGTCCAGGAAGATCCTACATGTCACAGGGCAACAAAGCCTGTGCACCACAACTACCGAGCCTGCACTCTAGAGCCCATGAGCCACAACTACTGAGCCTGCGTGATGCAACTACTGAAGCCCGTGTACCCAGAGCCCGTGTGTGTAACAAGAGAACCACTGCAATGAGAAGCAGGTGCACCACAACGAAGAGTAGCCCCCGTTCGCCACAACTAGAGAAAGCCCGAACACAGCAACGAAGACCCAATGCAGCCCAACAAATAAATAAATACATAAATCTTAAAAAAAGAAGGGTAAGAGACCCTACAGATGAGCTCCCACAGGGGAAGGCCATGTGAGGACACAGGGAGAAGGCCAAAGAGAGAGAGGCCCCAAGAGAAACCAACCCTGCCGACACCTTGATCTCGGACTTCCAGTCTCCAAAACTGTGAGAAATACATTTCTGTTGTTTAAGCCACTTGGTCTGTGGAAGTTTGTTATGGCAGCTCTAGCAAATCAATAGAGTAGGGCAATATTACTATCCCCAAGTTATAAATGTATAAACTGAGTTTCAGGGGTTAAGACCTGTACAGACTTAACGTAAGCAGTAAAAGGTTAGAATTGCTCACTGAATTGAATCTAGGTGTCAGATTCTGACATTAAAGATGCTTCAATCTATACAAACAATTTTTAAATCAAATTCTTATTTTTATCAAAGTTAATATATGGGTTTCTGAAAATAACAAGATTCACCTGCCTTTCCCTCATCTAACGTGGCTTCCTCAAAGGCAACCCCTTTGAGCACTTTAGGTGTTTCTACACTTGGTATACGTGTCTAAATAACATGCTGATACAGAATATGTGATGATTTTTCAAACCAAGACATCACCTATGAGGTTCGTTATTAAAGATGAGTCTTAATAATCTCCACACACACACACACACACACACACACAGACACACACATCATCACTATCCCTCGCCTTTCATCTCAAAGTTTTATCACGACCTTTGATAATTGTTCTTCTTCTGTATTGTCCTAGTTTTCTCCAGGTTAATTTTATTTTTTGCTTTCATATTAGACTTTCCTCAAATGTCTGGTGATCCTTGGCTGTCCATTCACATTTAAGAAAAAGCTTTTTTCCACTTTACCCTGCTCCCATCCTTCAAAGGTGACTAGTGACTTCCATTTTTGACATTTTCTAGGGTTTCACATCAGAGATTGGCTAGCTATTGCTGGACGCTCTGCAGGAACTTAGGTTTTAACTTCATTTTCTCTAAGTTAGTTGTTCATTGTCTATCTTTCTATCTTCTAGAATTTCCTGACATCTCCTCTCTGCTGTCATTTCATCTCCTGTGCTCTTTGTACTTTTTATGCCTTTTTATTCCTTAACTGTTATTTTAGGGGTTTTTGAGAGTAGAGACAAACACAGGCTTCTAAACAGAAGCCTACATTTCTAATTTTGACTTCTCTTGGGTTTTTACTATTAGTCAATAAGTAATGGTTAGTATCAGCTCAATGCAAATGAATAAAAATATCCCTATTTTTTCAGTTGCCTTTGTCAAAGCCTCTTTTACTTTGAAAACCTTGTGTTATGAGTTATGAGTGTCACGAATAAGAAGAATAACAAGAAATTTCTTACTTAAGTATCACTTATACCTGAAGACGTCTGTGCTCAGAGCAAGGTGAGGAGGGTGTACACACAGGACAAAGGGCTGGTGTGGAGTCCCACGGAGGCTGCCCCAGTGCGTGGTGACAAAGCCTGTGCAGGGAGAGAGGTGAGGATCCGTGCAGGGGCAGAGTCGGGGTGGGATGGGTCCCGGCCAAACAAAGAGGTCACCCACAGTATGGGGCGGCCTGTGGTGAGGTGAGTGAGAGGGTGTCCACCTGCGGGGATGTCCCAGCATGGGATCTGAGCACATGCAGGGCATCCTCATGGGGGAGGGGGCAGGGACAGTGATGGGAGTTTGGTCATATATCAAGAGATTGATCAAATAAGTAAAAAATACTAATGGTAATGAGAACCAGCGTTCTCACCCTCATAGAATGAAGTCATAAACACGGAGAGGGAGAAAACCAGAATACACCTTCAGCATTGGAATTAGAAGTTATCAGTGTGAAATCACGGACTGCAACGTATCTGTATCTTTATGGCATCAATGTTGATATATAAATATAGATGTAAATGTCTGCTTGTGTGTGTATACATGTTCCCTAGCTCCGAACATCAAGAGAGCCTAAAAGCTGGGAACTCAAATTGCAACAAGCAGCCCTATCCAGACTGTGGATTCTAAATACCATTTGCTACGTAGGGGAACCAGGGCTCCTTGGTAGGGTGCCAGATTTAGTACATAAAAATACAGCAAATATTTAGCAAACAAGAAATTATTGCATGGGACATACCTACACTAAATATTTATTAATTATTTATCTGACTTTCAAATTTAACTGATTAACCTCTATTTTATCTGGTATCCCTATTCCTTGGAGAAATGGCCACTTGCAATACTGGGGCAGGGAAAGGACAGTATGAGCTGGGAACATTCTGTTGTGTCAGAAAAAAAAGAAAATACTCACAGAAGGATGAGGCAAAATGACAAAGAAGCCAATTTGAAGGGGTTCTCAAATATGGGACAATGTGAGCCTCAAAATAAATAATAATAGTAACAAATTATAAACCAATGAACAAAATAGGAAACCAGGAGCTGATACTGATGTGAATAAAAGTAAAGGCGTGATAAGGAATAGGATATTTATTTAGATCTAAAGTATCTCTTCGCAAAATTAATACTTGATAATTCCAAATGGAAAAAAATAGTAACTTCATTTTGGAGTTACCTCCTTGTGGAGAAGCCTGGTAGACACCATTTTAATCAAGCGGTTAAAGTGAACATCACCAGTAATAGGACAAATCAAAACTGAGTGTCACCTGAACACAGCATCACTTTGGTGATATTCCTGCCAAACACAAAACACACCCAAATTGAGGGATATTCCACAAAATAACTGAGTCTTCAAAAGTATCAAGGTCATGAAAGTCAAACAAAGAGTGAGGAAACATTTTTGACTAAAGGACACTAAAGAGATGTGACAATTAAATGCAATACATATTCTGAAGTTTAGCCTTTTTTTTTTTGCAGTACGCAGGCCTCTCACGGTTGCGGCCTCTCCCGTTGCGGAGCACAGGCTCCGGACGCGCAGGCTCAGCGGCCATGGCTCACGGGCCTAGCCACTCCGCGGCATGTGGGATCTTCCCGGACCAGGGCACGAACCCGTGTCCCCTGCATCGGCAGGCGGACTCTCAACCACTGCGCCACCAGGGAAGTCCATGTATCCTTTTTTTGCTATAAAAGATATTACTGGGATGATTGATGAAATTTAATGAAGGTCTTAGGATTGTTTAATATAAATGATCCGTGTTTATTTTGATGGTTATATTGTGATTATGTGGGAGAATAACTGATTGCACTCCCTTAAGTATTTGGGGATGGTGGGGCATCAGGTTGGCAACTTACCCCCAAATGGCAGTTCAAGATAAAAAAGTTCTTCCTACTGTACTTGTAATTTTTTGTAAGTTTCAGATTGTTTTAAACTAAATAAAAGTAATGCTTATGTTTGGTTTTAAAAGGGAAATGAATATTTAATCATTTTTACACATGGGTCTAAAACAAGAGCTTAAAATGCCACTAATAAGCAGTGTTTTGCAATGATGATGTAAGAGATTAAAAATGAACCACATGGAAGTCACAAATTCATTTATTAAAAATGCTCCTGAAAGTATGTTGCTGGAATTTTTAAACTACAAGAAGCCAAAAAGAAAATTCTACATATTACTGATGTTTGTATGCCAAGCATTGGGGAAATTGCCATTTAAAACAAAAACCATGGTAACTGTTTCTGGGGTTTAGACCTTGGCATTTCATCTCTGGGGTAGATTGGTCTTTTTATGAAAAATATCTTTAAGGGAGCTATGGACTGAATGTTCGTATGTTGAAGTCCTATTCTGCCCTGCCACCCTCCTCTCCTTCCCCCATTGTGATGGTACCAAGAGGTGAGGCCTTTGGGAGGTGAGTAGGATTAGATGAGTTCCTGAAGGAGAAGCCTCATGAATGGGATCAGTGCCCTTTTAAGAGTTAGGAGAGAGGTTGCTGCCCTCTGCTCTCGATCATGTGAGGATGCAAGAAGTCAGCAGTCTGCAACCTGGAAGAAGGCCCTCTCCCCAGCATGCTGGCACCCTGCTCTCAGACTTCCAGCCTCCAGAACTGCGGGGAATAAATTTCTGTTACTTATAAGCCACCTACTCTACGGTAATTTTTTATAGCAGTCAGAACAGACTAAGACAAAGTGTGTCAGACACTCCTAATTTCCTACTCCTTGTCTATTCTTCCCGCTTTCCTTAGTTATAGAAATCCAACCTCTTGTTGGGCAACAATGCCCAGCTAAAATACTACTCAGCCTTCTTTAGATCTAGGTGTGCCCCAAGGCACCACTCTATCAATTAGACCTAAACAGAAGTGTGCTGGAAATGTTGGGAGAAGAATCGGCTTTCCCTCATACAGGCACCATCCGTTCTCCTTCCTTCCAGTCTGCAATTTGGCTGTAGCTCCTGAGGAACAGCAGCCTGTTTGTGACTCATTAAACAACAGGCTTGATGATAAAAGTCAACATGACATTGATGGCAATGAGGACGGCAAGGAAAGAAAAGCAGCCTGGGTACTTGATGGCATTACTGAGCTGCTGTGCCAATCTTGAACTCCCTACCAGTGGATTTTTTATTAAGAGAAACAGCAAACTCTCTACATGTTTATGCCAGTTGGGTTTTCTGTTATTTGCATCTGTATAAATTATTAACAACGAGTTTGATGGGCTTTTTTAATCAAAGGTGGAGACCCAAGACAGTTGAATTGCTTGTAAGAAAGTAAAAGGAATCTTGTATTTAAAGAGACTGTTCTGGAGAGATGTGAAGGGGATGTGGGGTTAGAGTAGCAAATCCAGGGTGACTGGAAGAGACCTAAGGAAAGACATAATCAGTGAGAAATTCCCTAAGGTTGCAACTGACCAACAGTTTTAGGAAAAGTTATATCTGACATCAATTTTGAAATTGTTTCCTGTGCTGTAAGTTGGTTCTTATACTATAATAACCATTTGTTACCCCTCAACCTAAAAGTCTGCTACATAGAACAGTCTTATGTTGATGAAATGAAACACTCGTGTCCAGTGAGGGGCAAGGCACTGAAATAATTTGAGGACACCAGCCATAGTGGAGAGAGCTGGCTCTGAACTTTTCATAACATATAAGAGGGTAGGTCATAACATTTTGTTTGGTTACTGAAAGAAATGTCAATCCTGCAACGACAGGCTGGAGAACCTAAGGATATATTATCCTTGAATTGGAAGCCTATTGGTTGACAAGGAAGCCTTCAACAAATATCTGGAGGGTGCTGATGTTACACCATGTGATTCTTTCACAGAACAGTCAGTACCTAGGATTGTTGTTTTCTTTTCCCTAAATGTCCTTTTTATAGCTTGAATTGGGACTCAGAACTCATATTTCTATAAAAATATAACAAAAGGGGGTTGCATTTTCTCGTCAGGTCACAAAAGCTTACTTATATCACTTAACCTCACTAGATGAGAATACTAACATTCTTTATGTTTTAAATGCAGACTTGTTATTAAACTCAGCAACTTAACATAACTTTATACGTTTTGCTCTGTTCACTGTTTGATTTAAGTCAGATAGCACTTCTCCAAGCAGCAACTAAGGAATCTGGACTCCTCCTAGCATGTGATCCAATATCTGCACATCCTTTGCTTCTAAGCCTGTAGACAGAGGAGCTGATTATCTCATGGGAAACTTTAGGGATCAAGCCTGGGCATGACACACATTACTCCTGCCCACATTCTGCTGGACAGACTAATCACTGGGCTCCAGCCTAACTGCAAGGGAGGCTGGGAAACACAGTCTTCCTTTGTGGCCAGGGAAGAGGAAAAAGGAACGTGGGCATCTTGCACCTACTTTGCAAGGTTTTGTGAAGATTAAATAACTGCACATTCTAGGTTCTTGTCAAGTATGTCTTTTCCTTCCTTTGGAATCAGCTAAGTACATACTGTGGTGGCAGGCTGCAGTGGTGGTGGGTTCTGGTGCACAGGACTCCTAGTGAAAGGGTTTTGGTAACGAAAATCAGATGCAGATTCTGGTCGAGTTAAGCAGAGGTCGTGGTAGCCTGAAAGACAGGTAGAATGAGAACATAAGGAACTGTGAGTTAGCTGCTCTTGAAAGGGCTCCTAGAAATTTAGGACAAATTCAAGGAGAGGAGAAAGAGGGAATAAGGGTTTTGGCTGGAAGATCAGAGCCTTCCAGGGAAGACATAGTGGGGCAAAGGTAGAAGGAAGCAGCATCTGAGAAACGTACAGGTTGCTTTCGGAAAACAGAGGAATGCGTAGCACCTTCCCCAACCACTGAAGCTGCACGGAGTCAAAGGTGAGTGAAAAAGCCACTGAAGGAAAGGAGATCACCCTTTACTGAAAACATATAACGTTCTTAGTAGACTTAAAAATATAACATTTTAAAAAGGAAATGATATAATGTAAAGCAATTACTTCCAAATAGTATTGGAGAGCCCAGTTTTTAGTTTCCCTAAAAATATTTACATTTAAATATGATTGAAGAATGCAATGTGTGAACCTTGATTGGATCAGGTTAGGGGGGAGGACACAAGCTATCAAAAATAATGTTGGCATTTTATGCTAGAAATTTGCTAAGAGAGTAGATCTTAAATGTCCTCCACCCCCCACCCCACATCAAACACACAAAGGTAACTATGTGAGGTAATGGATTTGTTAACTAACCTTATTGTGGTAATCCATTTCACAATACGTGGGCATATCAAATCATCACGTTGTACACCTTAAACTTATACAATGTTATTGGTCAATTATATCCCATTAAAGCTAGAAAAAAATATTGTTGGGGACAATCAGGAAAATTTAAATGTGATCTAAATTTAGATATAGATTTTTGTTAATTTTCTTAGATCTGGCTAAAGGTTGGGGTTAGGTATATCCTTTTCCTTAGGTGACACCTGCTGAAGCATCACCTAAGAAAAAGGATGAAGCATCATGATGCCTGCAATTTAGTTTCAAGTGTTTCAGAGAACATACATAAAGCAAATATAGCAAAATGTTAACAATGACTAAATCTAGGTGGAAGGTGTATGAACAGAAATCATATTGTTCTTTCAATGTTTCTGTATGTTTAAAAATTGTCATAATGAAAATCTGAAAAATGACAATACGACTGAAGGTTTCTAGCCTGTGATCATTTATTTGCTTATCAAGAGAACAAAGCAGTCACCCAATTATTCATAAAATATATCATCAGATGATAATATAGCTCAAATAGTTTTAGATGGAACTGGCTGGGGTCAAGTATAAAGCCTGGGACATATTGGCACCGGACCGTGAACTCCATGAAGCCAGGACACCATTGTTTTCACCATTATACGTCCAGCACTTAGTCAAGTGCTAGGAAATAGTAGGTGATAAGTAAATTTGTTCATTGAATGGTGAAGTAAATGTGAAAGTTCTATGCTTAGAATAGATATTCCAACCCTTTTGTGTTTTCTACGTACCACTGCTTTTTGGAAGACAAAAAATATACAAATAATATTTATGCATCTGGTACCTTTGGCAACTCCCTACCACTAATTCAATAACTCAGTTTTGAATTTCAAGCCAAAACATTTAGAAACCTGTGCTTTTCAGAGCTAAGTTATGTGTAAGCCTACCTTAATATTTTTATGAAGTTATTTTCTTTAAGGCTGCTTTCACTCGGTATTTTATTTTAAAAATAACAGCCAGATTTTACTGGATAAAAATAGTGACTATTAATGACAAAATCAAATGAAGGATTCTTCTGAAACTTTAAAGGTAAATTATCAAACATAACAAAATTATTTCAAAATTATTTTATTAATTTATTTTCCATTAAAACTAGTAGTCATCTATCATTCATTTTTAGAATCAATCTTTATGCAAACCTAGATTATGATAAAGGCCACACAGGGACAATCTTATCAAACAGTTGATAAGTTTTCTAGATTGATTTGTTCTTGTATTTAAAAATGTCTTTCAAGTTCTGATATCTTCCAACATTTTTAACAGCATTATGATATTATTAGGGAGCTGATCACCAAATCCGAGGGCGTTTGCTGCATCATTTTGACACTACCAACCACTGCTTTTTTTTCAGTTTTTTCAGATGTTGAGGAAGTATGGTAATTCTCTGGAAAGGCGATGGGGCCTAGTGACAGACTGGCTATAAGAGATGAAGGCAAGAGTGGAGAAATCTGCTTTTTAAAAAGCAGGTTTCCATGTAACCCCTTTTTAGCACTATTATTTATATTAATCTCTAAAAATTTTATTCTTTTATTTTATTTTTAACTTTTTTTCGGTACGCGGGCCTCTCACTGTTGTGGCCTCTCCTGTTGCGGAGCACAGGCTCCGGACGCGCATGCTCAGCGGTCATGGCTCACGGGCCCAGCCGCTCCGCGGCATGTGGGATCCTCCCAGACCGGGGCACGAACCCGTGTCCCCTGCATCGGCAGGCGGACTCTCAACCACTGCGCCACCAGGGAAGCCCCTATTCTTTTATTTTTATTTAGACCAATCTTAATCTGATCCTAAAGCTGTTAGGCTTAAAATAAAGTAACCTTATCCAACGGTAGAATAAGAGGTTTGCCATGTGGGAGTGAAAAATACTCTATAGACCAGGAGAATTTACCTTACTGCTCCAGGAGCCTGAGGGCCACTGTGATATAATAGCGAGCATACTCTATTTTGAAGACTTGGGGCCGAGTCCAGGCTTCCTTTTTACTTGCTCTTCTGACCCTGGGTAAGTCATTTAATTTCTCTGGGTCTTCCTCCAGCCTTATAATATCACTGACTCTAAACAAAGAACTGACAGAAAAGAAAATGATAAAACAGTCAAGTAGAATATGCTGGGAAAATTTGCCAGGGAGTGACATGGATAGTATGTATTGGATATTAATGAGTAAAATGAAAAAACAAACAAAGTATGTATTTTAGCAGGAACTTTAGGAGGAAAGAAAAAGCCATTGTGATTTTTATAAGATGAATGAACATTGGAAACGAAAAAAAATTTGTGCTGGTGAAACAATTTGTTACACAGTTGCCTATAAAATACAAAGCAACAAAGAACAGACTTTAGTTACACAGATTCAAGAGAATAAACATCTGGCTTTACATACTTGAGGGAAACTAAGTCACAACAAAACCGGAAACCCCCATGATGGATTCCAGTGACAATTTAGTAGCCGAAAGCATGGCATTATTTTGGAATGTAAAAAATATAGCCTTATAGGGCTTCCCTGGTGGCGCAGTGGTTGAGAGTCTGCCTGCCGATGCAGGGTACACAGGTTCGTGCCCCGGTCGGGGAAGATCCCACATGCTGCGGAGCGGCTGGGCCCGTGAGCCATGGCCGCTGCGCCTGCGCGTCTGGAGCCTGTGCTACAAAAAGGGAGAAGAAAAAAAAGAGAAAGGACCACAAAAAAAAAAAAAAAAAAAAAAAAAAATATATATATATATATATATATATAGCCTTATAGTCCTACTTTTAAGAAGTTTATCATCAAATTCATAAGAGACAATTAGGTAAACTATAATTAGCCTTATTTTGGAAAGAACTTGTCCCAAATGTAACTCATTTGGTAGTATTACCTTACATGAACTATATTATTCAAAAGTGGACTATAAAAGGATATTGGAAAATCGGGTATCTCGGTGATTAGGCATGAAAACGATAACACATTTCACAAAAGAAGAAATACAAATGGCTAGTTGATCTATGAAAACGTCCTCAATAGCATCAGCAATCAGGGAAGTGCAAGTTAAAACCACAATGATAAGTATACACCCCCGCCAAGCTGGCAAAGCTGAAAAGGACTGACTATACCAAATGTGGTTGAGGGTGTGGAGCCATGAGGCTCATACACAGTGGGCGTGAGTGTAACACTTTAGAAAACAGCGCGGCATGATTCGTTCAAATTTATAATACACATAACCCCTCCCAGGTATACACCATACAGAAACTCACATAGATGTGATGGAATACATACATGAGGAATATTTACAGCAGCATTTATAACAGTTCCAAACTGGAACAACCTAGATATCCATCAACAATAGAATGCCTAATAAATGACGGCATATTGCTACAATAGAACACTGTAATATGCAACAATTAAAATGAATAAATTACAGTTATAGGAACAACATATGGATTAAAAACGATGTTGAGCGAAGCCATAAGCACAACAGGTTACATATTATTTTGTTCCAAGAAAGGGAAAAACCAAACAATATACTGTTTAGGGATGCATGCATGCTTGTGATAAAACAATAGAGAAAAGCAAGGAAATGGTTATCACAAAAGTTAGAATAATTGTTACCTCTAAAAGGGAGGGAAAGAGTTGTGTTCAGGAAGGTCACTGGGGCACTTCTGGGGTGCTGGCAGTGTTCCAGTTCTTGACCTGGTTGGTTACATGGAGGTTTCTTTTACAATTACTCATTACAACTGAATAACTGATTTATGCATTTTAATGCATATGTCACAATAAAACCGCTAAAAGTAACTGAATATTGTAGATGGAATTTCTAGAAAGAAATTTTGCTAGAAAATTTAGCTTATGAAATCTTTGACAGCAAAAGCTACTGATGTGGGATAATAAAACTGATAAAATAGTTTCTCAGACAAGCTCACTTTCAAGTGTAGCAGAGAAGAGCCTTATACAAATATCCCATTGTTATATTTTAACATAGTATGCAGATCCTTATCATACAAACTGATGTACCAGGCAAAGAACGCTGTTACCTAAAACTTCGGATTTTTTTTGGAATTGCGAATGAACCAGCTGTTTTCTCCTCTGGATTAATAAGAAGTAAAAGAACTAAAGAGATGCAGACCAAGTTGGAAATGTATGAACTTCCTTCTCTGCCGTCACCAGTTCCAGCTGTTTCCTCCAGTTACCATACTGGGTGAAGGGGGTGGATCTTGCCTAGTAAGCTAGTGCAGCTGTAACTTCATCAGTAGGTGGCTGAGTGCCATTCTGCCTCTCGGCACCAAAGTTCTCTGGTGGAGCCACTGACAACGAAAACAGATCAGGCTGCTGAAAAGCTCCATGTGGTTACACACTTTTCTGGAGGCGTCCTCTGCTGGGTCGCAGAGCTCTGATGTTTGCATTCTTTTCATCCAAAGCTCTTAGAACTTAAAATCTGAGGTGCTTGGCTTTACAAAATCCCCTCATTCTGTATATTTTATTCTTGCCATTTTCATGAAAAATTAGGAAGAGGAGCAAAATCCAAAAAGATTTACTTTGTAGCCATGTGGGGCCATCACTTGCTGGTTTGATTTCCTGTGAGTCTTATTTGGAAGGACCTGGCAAGGACTGGTCACGAGAAGAGAGTCAAATCCAGGGTAGCTGAAAAGTAGGAGAGTTAACCTGGTTCTTAGAACTTTGGATGAAGGGCAGCTGTGCAGACGCTACTTTGTGAGTCTCTTCTTGCTTTGGCAATATCCATCTCTCTCCTCCCATCACTTTTACTGCAGCATTTTAATAAAAATGAGCCCTTGGATTTTACCCAGTTACAAGTTTCCTTGGCCTATTTGCATATGGTGGTGGCAGGAGTGTCAGGAACTCTGAGCTCCCCAGATCTGCCTATAAACACTTGCACCTCACCCCCTGAGGTGGAAAGATCTGTAACAGCCACTACTGCTGCTTCCAGACGAGGCAAGGAGCGCCAGAGTCCGGAGACCCAACTGTGGAATCTGCTTCCTTTCATCACTGCTGCTTTTATCTCGTTCTCACACTATTCACCAGGACAGGTTCAAGACAGATTTCTGAGGATTCTGAAATCCTTTTATCTTAAAATTTCTTGTCCTAGAGAACCACCCTTTCAACCTCATGAGTTTTTTACTTTGATTTACTTTCCAGGATAACACCCGTAGGAAGACCTGCCTAAATGGTAATGATATTTTAGAAAGGAAATAGCCTTTGAGTCAGACCTGAAACACAGGCCAAAATTTCTTGATGACGGTAATGGACACTGATTAACAGCCAATACCAGCTCTCCAAAGCTCCAAACCACAAGCAAGAATGATTCCCGAAAGGGAGGCACTGCTAAATTCTCCTCCTGAAAAAGTCAAAAATCCTTCCACACTCTCCGGGAGGATGGCTCCCTTCCCTCGTCCCAGCAATTCGCCTCGTTTTTCACTAAAGACTCAGGTTGTGACTCCTCACTCCGCCGCACCCCTATTTCCTTGCGGGGAGGGGGACGGGGGGAGAGGGATGTGTTACAACTCTCATCTTTACAATGCTACGCAGTTTACAAAGCGCTTGCACTTCCGCAAAACTGCTCTGAGCTCCGCGAGGGAGGGAGGCATTCATTCATTCATTCATCAAACATTTGCTCGGCCCGACCACGCGTTACCGGGCGCTGGGTCTCGCCCCACACGGCGGGAAGGGTGGGGCGCTCGCTCCCTCGAGCAGGTGCAGCGGATCAAGCTGTAAGATAACTTCTCGCTCAGCCGGGCTTTTCGAAGGCCCGTTGGGGCCAAATGCCTCACCTTCGGGTGATGCGCGCCCGAGCATGGCCGCGCGGCCTGGGCCTCCTCCTTGCTCCCCAAGGAGCAGTCACCACCTGCTCTGAAGGAAACCGCTACGGAGCAAGCTCTCTCCACTGCCCTCGGGTCAGGGGTAAGCTTAGGCGGCAGCTTAGGCTCCACGCGGCTCCTCCCCTTCCTCTCCTCAGTTCTGACGCGGCCGTAGAGGCGGCGGCAGCAGCGGCGAGTCCCGCGGCCCGAGGCGCACCCACCCGTTCGCCGAGCCCGACTTCCTCTTCCCTTGGAGCGTCATCGTGCGCGCCAGAGGCGCCCAGGGCGGGGTGGTTGGAAAGGGGAAAAAAGGCCCGCGGAGGAAGCCTCCGAGCGGAGAGAAAAGGGAGGGGGGAAGAGAGCGGTTGCTAGGTGACTTGCGTCATCGGTCTGCGCCGTTTTCCTCCCGCCCCTCTCTCTGGAGTGAGGCGAGAGCCCCGCACTGAGCGAGGGAGACAGCGAGCTGAGCTCGGGGCGCTACCGCCGCCGCCGCCGAGAGCGTGAGAGCGAGGGAGCATCCGAGAGACCCAGCGCCCTTGCACTGGCCGCCGCCGAGACCTCCGCCTTAACCTGGGCCAGAGGGAGCCGCGGCCACCCCTCTTCTCCCCCCCTCGCCTTCCCGGCCGGCAGCGGCGGCTGCACACGCCGGAGCCAGAGCCCGAGCCGGAGCCGGTGGCTGGGGGGCAGGGAGGCGGCTACCTCGGGTCGGGACTAGTCGGCTGCTCCGCGGTGAGAGGACGCTGAGGAGGGGCCGGAGCTTCTGTCCGTTCCGGGGCGCGGGGCGAGGGACCCCCAAGGTGGAGGGAGGGGGTCCCAGCCGCAGCGACACATGCTGGAGCCGGGAGCGGGGGCGGCGCCGAGCGGAGCCGGCCGGGTCCCCCACCTCGCCGCCGCCTCGGCCACCCGCCCGGGGCCGTAGCATCTTGCCCCGGAGTGTATGAGCCGGGACCCCAAGCCCGGCAACCACCCCCCGACCGGGGGGGCGGGGACCCCGATGTGAAGCGGAGGCCGGGGCGGCGGGGACAGCAGGACCGGCGCCGCCGTCCTTTCCTTCCCTGCCCCCTCCCCTCCGCCCCCTCGGGGGTCTTCTTTCTCGGCCAGTCGCCGGCCCCCCGGCTCCTCGGCAGGACTCCGGGAGGAGTTCTTAGAGCCCCCTCCCCTGCCCCAGCCCCGAGGGCGGCGGGGCCGGGGGGGACCCGGGGGGCCGGCCGCAGCCTCCGCCCAGAAGAAACTTTTCAAAAAACAAAATTCGGAGCCTCCCAAACGTGACTGTCTGGGGAGAAGTGGCCCGGGACGGGCAGAAGACCCAGCCTGAAGAGACCCAGGAAGAGGAAAAGAGGAGGTAAGCGGGGCCGCCGCCTCGTCTGCTCCGGCGGCGCGGAAGAGACCCGGGTGGCCGCCGGCTTAGCGATCCCAGCCCCGCTTCTTCCTCACTAACGCTCCGGAGCCTGCCGCAGCTGCCGCCTGAGTCCCAAGGAGGAAGGGACGCACCCCACTCTCTCAGCGCCCGGCTCTTCTCTAAAGTGTGAGTGGCCCCGGGAAAGGGAATGGAGGGATAGAAAGGGGGAGGATGCTGGGGCGTTCTCCGGAGTTTTGCCGGTGTTTTCCAGGAGTGTTGGGAGTGTATAGACGAGAGGGGTACCTTAGTCCTCACTGCGGGGAGAGGCATCCGGCAGTCCAGTGTTTTGTAACCTTTTAGCGCTCTGTACGTGTGATACGCAAGCCCACAGGTTTCTCTTCGAGGAGTTCTGTCTTTCTCCAGGGTGGACACTTGGTATCTTTCTGGCCAGTAATTGGCAAAAGGAAATTGAGGGCACACAGAGCCTATGTGCGCACAAGGGACATCTCTGTAATACATATTTTCCTGGTACACCCGGTGGGAAACAGCGCAGTAGTTTTTGTCTCTGGGCAACTCTTATTTGGTTCTCAAGTGGGAACCCCTGACTCTTTGAACCCCTGAAAGTAAAATTGCTTTCTTTTTTGCCAGTCTTCCTTGAGAGATTTCATTTCAGTACCTAGTGGTACAGGAATTTTTTTTACCTTCTCATTTCCTGGGTGCAGTTCCTGCGTATCAGGAAGACACTGTAACATTTCAGTTACTCAGGAAATTCTGAGGTCTTTTGATCACAACTGATTTGGGGGAGAGCATTTAGTACTTTAACCAGTTTATAAAAGGTATTAAATTTTTTCCTTACCCAAATGCTTTTTTTTTTTTTTTTTGAGTAGCATATGTCCTAATTGCTAGCAGTTTTTTGTTTGTTGGAATGACTTGAAGCTTTGCTTATTTGAGTTATCTCCTGCTTCTCTATCAAATGAGGAGAAACTTCTGATGTTTAATTCTTTGAAGAATGATGTTTTTCCTCTTCCTTTATTTTAAAGGTGAAATCTGTAAAATCTTTGATTTGTAATTTAGGTATCCCCTCAGAGTGCCAAATTAAGGTGCAGGAAAGTAATTGACATTTCATATGTTTATACAGACCTTAGGGTTAAGCATAGGGTGGAATTTTATATAACAGAACATAGGCAGTACTAAGAATTATGGCCCCTCCAGACAATTGTGTGAGCTTACACTCTCTGAAGCCACTGCTGAGAGAAACTTTGTGGGAGTGAATGTAAGCCTGGGATTATCCATGCTAACTTTTCCATTCAGGATCTTGATTAAACTTATTTAAAACTTTCTCAAACACTTTTCATCCTGTACTTTTTCTCTTTTGAAGAGATGAATTCTGCAAGTTTACTAGCCCCTGAATTATGTAACAGTTCATTTATTTATCCCAAACCTGTCTCTTTATAAAGTTTCAAGACACATCCCAAGTTTGTATTTTGAGAATTGCTAGAACAAGCTGGAGTTCATCTTTTCCTGGTTTGTAGATTTTGATTGTTCCTCTTTACTATCATCTTTCCTGACTTTTTGTCTTAAAATAATTTCTTCCATCCTTTTGATCACTTTGCCCTCCTTTGGAACTTCACCAGCTGTTTTGTTTTTCTTTATATGCCTTTTCCTTGTTATGCTTTTGTTAGGAACCTTAAATTCTACTTTAAATAAGTACTGGCATCAAAATATTGAGTAGTGGGGCTTCCCTGGTGGCGCAGTGGTTGAGAGTCCGCCCGCCGATGCAGGGGACACGGGTTCGTGCCCCGGTCCGGGAAGATCCCACATGCCGCGGAGCGGCTGGGCCCGTGAGCCATGGCCGCTGAGCCTGCATGTGCTCCGCAGCGGGACAGGCCACAGCAGTGAGAGGCCCACGTACCGCAAAATATATATATATATATATATATATATATATATATAGAGTAGTGGATGTAGTGTTAGATGTGGAATCAAAAACAAATTTTGCGGGCTGCCCTGGTGGCGCAGTGGTTGAGAGTCCGCCTGCCGATGCAGGGGGACATGGGTTCGTGCCTCGGTCTGGGAAGATCCCACATGCTGCGGAGCGGCTGGGCCCGTGAGCCATGGCCGCTGAGCCTGCGCGTCCAGAGCCTGTGCTCCGCAACGGGAGAGGCCACAACAGTGAGAGGCCCGCGTACTGCAAAAACAAAACAAAACAAATGTCTCTAGATCTGTTATTTTGTGACCTTGAGGAAGTCATGTATCCCATACTTCACAAACATAGGAGGAAGAGAAATCTAGTCTTGCATAGGCTGTTTTTTGGGGGAGGAAAAGAGGACAGACCAACAAACTAGTTTGAGCGTAGATTATACTCCATCAAAGTTGCTTACAACTTTGACTTGTATTGTTTTGACTATAGATTGGTTAAAAATCATGGTAATGTTTAATGTATATTTGGGTAGCAAAGAAACAACAGAGCATTTGTGGGTCCCTGCCTTTGAGATGCTTTTGCTTATGGGTGGCAGAGGCAGTGAAACACAGATTCCACAAAATTATAGAAAAGGAGGAATGGACCAGTTTTTATCTACGACCACTGTATGTCAGCAACTGTTTGGTACCTTATAGATGTAAATGTATTTGTACATTTTTCACTAGGGAAATGTTGATGTTGGACTATACAGAACTTATTGGAGTGTCTGAGCCAGGAGAAAGTGTTTTTTAGGAAGAAAAGAACAGGTGGAGATAGTGTTTAAGACTTTTGGAATTGGAGGGGGTGAGGGACAAATGTAATTAGGACGTTAGCTTATAGGAATACAGAGGGAGATTGTTGAGTAGGCTTAGGGCCAATTTGTGTTTGTGTGGATACATGTTTACAGCCCAGAGAATGAACTGAGAACAATGTTTCTGAGAGGGTAGTTTTAGACCACTGAGAAGAAATCGTATTTTAAGCCAAGAGGCATTATACCTGGATTAGGATTTTGTTTTTCTAGAGAACTAACATTTTTACACTACAGTCATTGAAGAGCTATACAGATGGAGGGGTGAAAAAGAAGGTGCTTCCAGTATGTTGGTATGGTGCTAGTGGTTTCTTATAAAAAGTAATTCAGAAATGAGGCAGTGGACTTTGGACATTAAATTTTAGGGTTAAAGTTGGATACCAATGCAATCTTAAGACAGTAAAATAATGAGTGATATGCTGAAAATGTAGAATTGGGAGTCATTATAAAAGTACTAAGGTTTCTCTATAGTGCTGATGGAGAGTAGAGAGCTGAAAAATGGGTATTTGAGGGGAGGGGAATGTGTTAAAGTTAGCAAAGATACAGGAAGAGGAGAATGGATGAGGCTCTCCTGTTTTAAAAGTGAATAAGGGTTGAAATTGAAAAAGGAGGAGCACCCTTTAAACATGGGCACCAGTTCAGTCTTAGGGTAGATGATTACTTTTGAAATACTAACAAGCTTTCTGTAAGGTATATAGGTCCCTGGAGATTGTTCAGAAGAA